TCGGGGAGAGCAGAATCTCCAGCCGCTTCTACTCTTGCTGAGAATCCTTGCAGGCAGGGGCGGGACTTTATTTAGGGCCACCATGCGGCCAATCATATGCGAGGACACACTAGGATCATACCATTATGTGAAAGAAGGGTGGGGGGCACAGCAGGTGTAGTGGTACAGGCCAGCTGCAGAGCAACGGGAGCCGGATTTAAATGCAAGCACGTCAGAAAAAGTCAAGAAATTAGCGAAAACCGAAAAAATAAGCAGCATTTGGCTGCATTTCAATGATATTGGAGAAAGCAAAGATGAGTGCAGGATTTGTAAAATGAAAATAACCTTCAGAGCAGGTTTTTTTTTGGCACTTAGGATTTATTGTCAGAGGTGGGAGAAGTTCAGATTGAGTAAAAGTACCAGAGTGTAGGAATACTCAGTTACAATAAGAAGTCCTGCATTCAAAATGTTACAAGTAAAAGTACAAAAGTATTAGCATCAAAATATACTAAAAGTACCAACTGCAGAGGGATCTAGATTCAGGTGTTCTTTTCCCCATAATGACTGACCGCCTCGCTGCACATTGTCCCTTGCATAAAGATAGATTGTGGGTCCCTTATAACCTGTTGTACACAGTGGAAATAAACATTCTGGTTATCTCAACATCAGGGATCTTGCACATTAAACTCCTTCTGAATCAAACCGTCACAGTAGCCTTACCTTACTGATCCTTCTTAAATTAGAAAAAAACACGTTACTTTACCAGCAGAGAGAAAATGGATTATTAAATTATTAATGTGACTAATAAAGAGCAGTTGGATTATTAAGTATTTGCCCGAGAACGATGTGCTAGGTAACCCAACGGCGTCCTAGCACGAAGTGCGAGGAAACCTATTGTTATTGGTGGAATTATTGTTATTAGGGCCCGAGCACGATGTGCTAGGACCCAACGGCGTCCTAGNACACATCATCCCAAACCATCTCCAATATCAAAGTAAGAGAAAAGTCACACATTCAGTCAGTCCTCAAGAGTCCCCACTGTAACTCGTGTTGCTTTAACATAAACTGCTGTTGGAAAGACCAGACGAAAGATGGAGGCCTGCTAAAGCTCCCTGGCAAAAGAGAAACTCGACGTGTGGCTCAAGGCAACTTGACCGGTTTTACTTACGCCCGTTTCAACTTCCTCGTCTAAAGCTTGCCCTGCCTGTTCTCCAAGCTTGCTTCTCCTGGTCAATGATGAATGACTGTTCAATCAGCTAAAGCCATCTTCCAACATCAAACCACAAGCCCTCCTTTATAGCATAAACATTCAAATATCCTCCCACTAGTGGATACGTGAGGTTGATGTTATGAGCCCTTTCAGTTTCCTATTCTGCTTGTCCCTGTATGCGTCTCATATCTGCAGTAACTGCTGTGAAAGTGGGGGGGAAAGACAAAGGTCATTTGCTTTATAACAGACATGACAGTACCAAGCCAATCTGTGCAAGTTGTGAAAGAAAGATGATTCATTTGGATTAGGTACGCTTGGTTGAGCAGAGACAGATACGGGCGATGAGGCGGGTGAAGACAGCCAAGATGGGGGAAGACAGAAAGAAAGACGCCATTAAAATATCTAATATCATAATAAAACTGCACTGGTAATAGCTCTTTGTGGGTTTGTATTATACTCGACACAGTGCCATTCAAACAGCAGCAGCTCTGGGATTTCAATTTAAGCCTTGCTTTACTTTGAAGGAGCTGCAAACACAAATATGCAAACAAACACAAGCATGAAGGCATGTGACATATTTCCTAAGTTATTCATGAAATATGCCAATGTGCGCCTATGAGAGAAAAATACAGAGCAACATCACACAAGGTTTCTCACCACACACACACACACAGCACACACAACACACAACCACACAACACACACACACACACACACCACACACACACACACACACAACCACACACCACACACCACACAACACACACACACACACCACACCACACACACACAGACACACACACACACACACACACACACACACACACACACACACACACACACCACACCACACACACCAACACACACACACCACCACACACCTGGACCAGCATGCCACATGCCTTACTGAACACATATTAAACAGTAAAAGATGATTCACTAGTGGACACACACACACACACACACACACACACACACACACACACACACACACACACACACAACACACACACAACACACACCAACACACACACACACACACAACCACACACACACACACACACAGCAACACGCACACACACACAACAGACACACACACACACACACACCTAACACCTACACACCTGAATGCCCTGCACATGCCTTACTGACACATATTAACCCAGTAAAAGATGAATCACCTAGTGGACACACACACACACACACACACACAACACCACACCACCACACACCACACACACACACACACACACCACACACACACACACACACACACACACAACACACACAGCACACACACACAACACACACACACCACAACACACAACACACACACACACACACACACACACACACACACACCACACAGCACACACACACACACACGTGGTCAGCACTGGCCGCCAGGAGGGAAGCTTCAGACGCCTGGGATCGTGACCAGTGGCACGTATACTGGCTGCCACAGTCCACCACACACTCGCTGTGTGCCAAAACCATACATGTGTGTGCTACATGCGAGTGTGACCTGACTTTGTGAGCAGGCTTTCATATCCTACAAACACAAGTGTGTGTCTTTGTGCGAAGCGATTCTTGTGTGTCCTCCAGTGTGGTATGTCTTATGGGAGTGGGTGAGTTAATACATTCAGTATAGAACATTGTAGGGATATCCCTTTGACTTGTGTTTACCTTGATCTGATGATAAAGACCTGTCCATTTCCTCTCTCACGCACCTAAGCCTACTGGTACTTCCTGCTCGTCCACACCGAGAGAGGCCACTTAAGCCTGGGCAACTGTCCACAGATATCTTATCTTGCCAATAAAGCCCGCTTGAATGGGTTTAGTATTGAACTGAGAGAGGGAGGAAAACAAACGGCAACCACACTGGCTAATGGGGGTCACTTCACACCCCCCCATTGAGAGAAACTCCTGCACCGGCGCCCTCCTCCTCCTTCTTCTCCTCCTCCTCACTCCTCCCATCTCACATGTTAATGTACTTACGCCGCTCCTGCAAACCTTCATCCTGCCCGAGATGCTGGCTGGCATACCACAAACAGGGCCCCTGAAAATAGTCTCCCCCCCTGTTTCCCATGCTGCACTGGAGGTAATTATCGGTTGGTGAAGCGAAATTCCTAATGTGGATCAAATAATCTACCCACTACTTCTCTGCCTTCTACTTCCCTCTCTCTGTGGAGTTCTGTGTCTGCCCGCTTCACTCATGTCTCCTCGCATAGAACAAATTGGTGCTCTCCACGCGCCATTCCAGCATCTCCCGTCTCTTTCCTCCTGGGTGTTTCGTAGGGCAGTGAGACGCATGGTGCCTAGCCACACTGACCAATAAAAAGCAGGCCGTAGCCTCTATCATTTAGTCCGGCACGTCTGGTATCATCAGCTCAGGACGGTTGCAGGCCGGACGCCCCACAGCCTCGGCGGAAAAAGCGCTCATACCATCTTATTATATGGTCCACAAGTTTGGATACTCATGAGCCTTCCTGCAGGGTGTGTTCCGCTTTTCCTTGCTATCTTTCTAAACTCCAGCCTCTGTTTGACCATGCATTTTTACCCAGGGGATTACATCGGCACATTTACACCTCGAAGAACTGCAACCACAGACTGACTCAATAAAAACCTGAAACGCTATTAAAGCATCCCTAATGCACGACGGCTTCCTTTGGCTTCCACGGTGAGAGAACACACCGAGGAGAGAAGTATGAAAGAAGCATGGAGGGGTAAAAAGGAGCATTAAAAGCAGCGTAAAATTATTTTAAGCTTCTCAACCTCATTCATGTTGAACCAGGGCCAGGAGGAACCGCACTGCCATGACTATGATGGTACCTGTTGTTTTACTTTTTCTCTCTTTCTCTCTTGCAAGTGTCCTGCCACTGAGGAATGCCCTGGTCAGATTCACATGTGTGTGTATGTATGTGTGGTGTGTGAGAGGGCTGGACAAGAGAGGACCAGTGGTGGACTAACAGAACACAATCAACCCTCAATGGACAGCTATTAACTCATCGCACATCAAACACAACAGCACATAATTCCAAGTCCAACGGACGAGAAGGCAGTGACATTCGAGCCAACCAACCAATCAGGGGAGCTTTAACAGCAGCCACAATGGAGCCAGTCAAGTGAGCAGCAGAGGATGTGGAGATCTGTGGA